ACAGTGACTGTTTTTGTGTGCGTGATTTTTCTGTTTGTCTGTCGACTTGGAAGCATGGCCGGGAACTCCCCATGATTTTCTGCGCTTGGAGTTATGAACCCAGTTAGTAATGAACCCATTTTTTGTCCCCAGTCACAATGCGATGCAGAAATCCCTTCTTTGTCTTTCAAACAGCAGTTCACAAGCAAACAAACGCCGTTCAACATCTCTTGCCGTTCAACTCGTACGGGTACTCGTACCCAATTTCCTTGCTTCTGAATCATTCCCATGACTTTGAGGCGTTTTGAGATGGCTTGTTGTTTCACTCCCAATGATCGTGCCAATTCTTTTTGATTTTGACACGAGTCTTGATCAAGTAATGCCTCCAATTCTGCATCTTCGAAAACCTATGTCGGTCTTCGACGTCAAAATCATCGTTCTTGAAGCGTTGAAACCACTCACTACACGTTCTTTCACTAATAGCCTCACCATAAGTATTTGAGAGCATTCGATGAGCCTCAGCCGCAGATTTCTTCATATTGAAGCAGAAAATTAAAACCTCCCAAATGACGAGAATTTGGCTCGTAAACTGACATTTTCAATCCAGAATAATTTTATGATGCAGACACAAATCGATTAATGTTTCTATGGGGTTATGTTGACAGATGCCCAAGTTTATTGTATGACGTCTATGATCTATTTATTTCGACCACCATTTACCGTTAAAGCCATCTATAGGAAAACGGCGAAAGCAAAGTTGTACATCTAATATATATTTATTGTGTATGTATATCACATTTGTACGTAATAATTATATATTTAAAATATCATTAGTTGATAAAAATATTGCAACAATTTTACACAATCCTAATTATAATTAATACTACTGATAATGGAATAAAATAAGTTTTGTGTATTTTTGATGAATATAATCGTCTTAATCGCAACGTAATAATTCGCTTTCGAAGTCTTCTGTTGTCATGTTGTAAAGATTTGATTTGTTTGCTTTTCTTTTGATCCATTTCTTTAATAAAATTGATTAATCTTCTCGTTTTTCTCGGTGTACTAACGCCACTATTAATTTCTGAAATATTATATATCTTGACTCTGTAAACAAACATTTTTTTCGAGGAAGAGAAATGTTCTCTTTAGAAGCTAAAAATATAAAATATTTATCACAAAAATAATACTTATTTTCTTTTATAATCAGTGTATGTATTTCTATTTCTACATAATTTATATTTATTAGGTGTTGGAATTAATTCGTAGCGTTTTTTAATGAAAGAATGTTATTTATTTCACATGAGCATTAAAAAATACATTAATGAAAGTACTTCCCATCTCTTGAAAAACGCTACGAATTAATTCCAACACCTAATAATTTACGAATAATAAATGGAAACTTCGGATATTGGCTGAACTTCATCATCAAAATCCGTTTCATTAGATACAATTGGAGATGTAATATTCACTTCAAATAAATTTGACATACTAGTACTTTCTATTATTGGCACTGAAAGAATAAAATATTTATCACAAAAATAATATTTATGTTATTTCCTCTTACAATCAGTATACATATTTTTATTTCTACATATGGGAGTACAAATTAGTTCGGTCCGTTTTCCAAAAGATGGCTCCGGCTATTATGAACGGTTCATAGTGACAGCTGATTTTGGCGTTTTCGAAGAGGTTAGACATCTGCTAATAATATTTAATTTGAATATTATATCGCTTTATATCGCTTTGAGTTTCATACAAAAACCTTGATTTTTACTGTGTTTGAAATGTCGAATTTTGTGTTAACCAAGCATTTGCGGGAGATTCTAATTTTCTGCTTTAATTGGAAGAAAAATACAGTGAAGCCCAGAAGTCGAATGCTTGTCGAAGTTTATGGTGACACTGCTCCAACTAATAAATCATGTAGGGAATGGTTTCGATGTTTCAAGGATGATCAGATTTCAGCGTTAGTAGAGCGAAGACAAGCCTCGCTCTAGACAGCCAAAAAAATTCGAAGAATTAGAGGCATTACTCGAAGAAGATCAGAGTCAAACGCAAGAAGAGCTTGCATCATTGGGAGTAACTCAACAAGCCGTTTTTACACGATTGAGAGCTATGGGAATAATACAAAAACAAGGAAATTGGGTGCCTTATGAACTGAAACCGAGAGACGTTGAAAAGCGATTTTTCACTTGCGAACAGTTTCAAAGATAACAAAGAAAAGGTTTTGCATCGGATTGTGACTGGAGATGAGAAGTGGATATTCTACGATAACCCCAAGAAGAAAAAATACTACACTAAGCCCGGTCAATCGTTGCCATCTCCCTCAACATCAACACCAAAGCTGAATATTCATGGTTCGAAGATCATGCTCTGTATCTGATCAGACCAAAAGGGTGTTGTTTACTATGAGCTGCTGAAACCTGGCGATTCCATTACGGGCGATCGGTATCGGCTACAATTGATTCGTTTGAGCCGTGCATTGCGAGAAAAACGGCCGGAATACGAGCAAAGACATGATAAAGTTATTTTTTTTCATGACAATGCTCGGCCTCATGTCGCAAAAGTCGTAAAAAAATATTTGGAAACGCTCAAATGGGATGTTTTACCGCATACACTCGCCATATTCTCCGGACATTGCTCCTTCTGATTACTGGATGTTCCGAAGGATGCAGCACGATTTGGCAAGTCACAGGTTCACTTCTTCAAAATTGGATCGCCTCCAAAGACGAGTCACTTTTTCGAGATGGAATTCGAAAATTGCCTGAGAGATGGGAAAAAAGTAGTAGCCAGCGATGGACAATACTTTAATTAATCTGTTCATTCATTTTGTTTTGAAATAAATTTTTGAACACGGAAAAAAACGGACCGAACTAATTTGTACTCCCAATAATTTATATGTAACTTACATGAATGATAAATCGAAGCTTCCAATATTTAATGAACAGCGTTAGCATAACTCAAATTATATCAAAATTGGAGAGGTTCACTTCAGATTTCGATGTATTTAGTACTTTTATTGTTGACACATTTGATAATTCAACTGAGTGATTTGGTACAGCTATTTCTACAGTGGATATAGTCCCAGGAGGTAATCTCTTTAATGCAACTAAATTATCAGGTAATTCAAAGTGATGTGAGCAAATATAAATATGGGTGCACTTTTTTCATGCAATCCACAAGCGTCGATCCATTTTTTACATATTTCTGGTACTTTCGGAAATCTAAAAAGAATAATTTAATTTTTATTAACCATTGTAAGCAATCGGACATGTACTTTCATCATTTGTAATTAAACTTACTTATGTAAAGTTATCTTTTTATCCTCTGTGCTTTTTCTTTTACATAAATAACAAGATCGCGGCATTATTTCCTTTTTTTAATTAGTATTTTTATATAGGTCAAATAACAAACTTAACTTCACTATTGAACACGTCAGACACAAACGTGATAAAATATGATTAAATAAGTTGGGAACACGCGCATGCGCATTGCGAAAGTACACGAATTGTGGAAGTGAGAAGCGATCATCTGCACCGTGATGTTTTCGGCAGTTCTTAATTGCCGTTAGCAATATAGTAGTATTACATATATGAATGGAGCGCGGTTTGCTAGTGAGAAATTCACATTAGTATAAATTTTTTTAAATATATGAACTTATTTTTATGCACACTTTATCGATACTCTTATTTTTTTAACAGATTTACTTAATAATTGCGTTTAAATCAATTAATTCCATTAAAAAGTGCATAACGTGCAGTGTACGGTAATGAAAGTTTATTACTAGCTCGTGTCGCAAATCACGCTCCATGTATTGGGTCATCTAAAAAGTATCCGCGGTTTTTTGTCACTAGATGGTGTTGATGGTCAACACCGCGTACTGCGCTCCATGTAATCGCACCCTGATGCTTCTGTCCACACCTACCAACGGCGGCATGGTCAATGGAAGGGAGTCTTAGGGACGCCCATAAAAGAAAGATCAGAAGAGCGGCAGGGAGCGATATATAGAGTGGACGCGCGCGAGATTCAGTTTCCTTCCATTGTTTTGCTATTTTTGCCGCTCTAAACGCCGCGTGTGAATTATTATTCTAAGTCCGAACACAACTCTCTTTTGCTAATTCAATTCCTGATTCTATTAATAATTGCAAGTTCTAATTT